GCGAAGAAATTCACAATGAGGAGCCAAACGTAGAAGCCGAGCATCTCGATGAGGAGATTCCTTTCGAGGAAGAGCTGGAATATGTAGAAGAAGCCAACAGCGATGACGAAGCACCACTCGAAGAGGAAGAGAGACGCCAGTTGGAAGAGGAGCGCGAAAGACGTGAACACCAGCGGCAACGTCTCAGGGCAGACCTAGACCAAGCCATTCAAGCAGAACGCGACTTTGAGCGTCTGATAGATGAGCTCTCGCAACGAAGAACCTGCCCACCAAGACGCTTCTCACATGGTTTCATTCTGCGCAGCGAGGAACAAACCATTCAGTGTGTGTTTTGTAAACGCGTCGGCAACCATTATTCAGACTTGTGTCAGACTGTCGCGGACGCAGCGACACGCCGAGATGTATTGCGAGCTGAGCTTCGCTGTGTCATGTGTCTAACCACAGAATGCGCGGAAGACATCTACTGTCGAAAGTACGCAGTGAAATGCTACCACTGCCGTGGTTTCGGACACCATTCGGCCATTTGTGAATTGCCAGAAGAAAGCCAATCAATCCTTGAGCAGCTACGATCTGCACGCGAAGGACTAGAAAGGAACCGCGAGAGAAGGCGCAACATCGAACGCCAGCTACGCGAAGAACGCCAGCAATGAGACGTCACGCGTGAAAAAAAAATATGTTTGGACTGCATTGTATACGCTTCACTTCACGCTTCTGCTACTCATCGCTACGCTTCACGCCTTTGCTACTCGTCGCTACGCTTCACGCTTTTTGCTACGCAGCGCTACGCTTCATAAAGCTCCTCTCACGACGCCGGCGGGAGTATCGCGGAGCGATCGCAAATATGTAAGCGACGCCTGGGAACGGCCGGCATGAGATGCTGCCTGACCGCTATCATGCCGCGATCTAACAACAAGCGAGAAACGGTACTAAAAGGGCATGATGAAGCCGAGGGAACATTCTTGCAACATTCTTTCTTGCCTCGGTACGCTGCTCGACGCCGGCTCACGCTTCACCGCCTTCCACGCGTCTTGGGATAGCTGGTATCCTTGATCATTGTTTTATCTGGTTACTGTATTGCAGTTATTTTATCTGTCTATATTGTAGTTTCCGATATCCGATAAACGAATACGCTAATCTGTGTGTCAATCAGCCAATTATTCGTCGATCTATGTCCAGTATAATAGAAGAAGGCATTAAGGTTTAGCTACTAGAAGCTGCCATAAGAATTGTTCACAATGAGTTCGGGCATGCCACCCTCGCTCGACCAGCAAGCGACCTAGTTTTCAGGAGTATGACGTAGACAATGAAAATGAAAATGGGTATGCTAGCTCAACAAAACTAGGCAACCCCCGCGCTACCGACATACTGGATGAGCCACAAACTCACTAGAGATGAATTGCAATGAGCTCGAGAATAAATATACTCGGGCAGTCTTCGTAGGCTAGCCTTAACTAAACTCAAAGAAAATCAGACCCAAACCGTACAAATGTGTTTCCGATCAAACTTCCATTAGAGATAAGCAAAATCAACAGAAAACTATCATGTGAACAAAACGGACTATCTATCAACTGACTGAAGCAAAGTTATGCAGTGAATCACCAGCCCAACGTGAGTTGTCAAACACTAGGGTCGAAATATGAGGCCAACCGAGAGCAAGGATCTGAAAAAGGAAAACGAGGAAAAAGAGCCATAAGAAGAATGAGCTAAACTTTCTTGCAAGCATTTCAGACTAAAGACTATGACAGAAGTGCAACCGCCAAAACGAGCAGGCAGCAGAAGCTCAGCCATAATCTGGAAGGACACAGACAAGAAAAGCGAAAAGAAAAAAACAATAAGAAAAAGGGGCTTAAACATTAATCAGACTCGTCAATCCCTAACATACTCAAGAAATCGCATTTCAAAAGTTTTTCTCTAAAGGTTTTTGAGTTAGCAGAAGACAAAACGGAACCTGGTAATTTTTGCATCCAGCGTGCAGTGCGAACAAAGAAGGAATTGCGAAAAAGCTGAAAGCTGAGAAGTTTCTGTTACAGGACAACAAAAGTTAGACCTACCTGTCCGTCCACGACAAGGTTTCCACACCCAAATTTCACTGGGCAAAAGTTTGGTTTCAAGACGTATGATTTGAAACGCAAGGACTAAATCGGCCACCACCCTTCGGTAAAGCAAGCTATGGGGTTTGAAGCGTTGCAACCTGCATCTGTAGGGTAGAAGGGCAGCAGGGTAATTGCCATTAGGAAAAAGTCTATAAAACAGAATACGAGTAAATGTCATCTGAACTTTCTCTAAGGTCCGAATATCTTTTTTTATGTATGGACTCCATAATTGGCTAGCGTATTCTAAATGCGGAAGGACATAAGCCACATACGTTCTAATGTAGACATTCTCATGAACATGCCTCAAGTTACGCAGCAAGAGAAACATTCTGTGCAGGGCCGCACGTGCTACTCAATATGGGAGCTAAGTCGAAGGTCATGGTGCACCAGAACTCCAAGGTCTCTTACTTAGACAATCGCTGGGGGCAGGCGGGCACCGGAAAAATAGATTGCTGATTTCTTGCACCCCGCTCGCGAATTTTTTGCAAAGCAATCAGGACTTTTCGGAAAACCGCTTGCTGAGTCAGCGGAATTTTTGGAGACCTTTAGTTGAATTTTTTTTCGCTCTTATCTTTTGCAGATATATTGCTGAATCTCTGAGTAATCGAGAACTCAGCAAGCGGTCTTCCGAAAAGTCCTGATTGCTTTCCAAAAAATCCGCGAGCGGAGTGCGAGAGATCAGCAATCTATTTTTCCGGTGCCCGCCTGCCCCCGTTGATTGTCTGAGTATGAGTTCAGGTCTAAGGAGGGAGGTGTCAGAGTCCCCATAATCTACGAAAGTGCATTTATCCACCCTTTTTCTTGTGATAGTCAAGCAAGCACTTTTAGTTAAGTTTACATCAATATTATTTGTAGTTGCCCAGTGCAACATATTATGCACTGAATTTTGTAGGCACTGTGCTACTACCTCCCTATCAGCATCCGTATATGATGCAAATACTTTGATGTCATCAGCATAGGCCATAATCTTAACTCTGTTGTTGGTAGATAGGAGGCTAGGAAGATCGCTTGTATAGATATTGAAAAGGACAGGGGACAGTACTCCACCCTGTGGCACACCACTTGTTGCTGGGAAAATCGAAGAGATAGCAGAATTACAGCGGACGGAAAAGGTTCTATCAGACAAATAAGATGAAACCCATTTCAAAAGAGGGCCACGAATTCCCACACCAAAAAGTTTTTCAATCAATTTGGGAATGTCTACTCTATCAAAAGCTTTGGACAAGTCAAAATAAAGAACATCAGTGGCTCGGTTTTGAGATAAAGCTCTTTTCCAGTAATGTCCACATACCAATAGTTGAAGAGTAGTTGAGGAACCAGCAATAAATCCAAATTGGAATGAGATGGTTCTGTGCACAATATGTCAATAATTTACTTTTAATAATCTTCTCAGCAACTTTACAAACAACAGAGTTAATAGTTATAGGCCAAAATTCGGTAACTTTACGCGGGTTCTGAACTTTTGGCACTGGTACAACTCTTCCTTGCTTCCATATTTTTGGAAGCTCACCAATGCTCAGAGAGAGATTAATCAGTATAGAAACGGGAACTGCCAACTGATTGGCACATTTCTTGAATACAATCTGGGAAATACCGTCAGTCAAAACGTGGATGACTTCAATTTCTTCAGAACGCTAGCTGTTTCCCAAGGAAACACTTGTGGAATCTGAGAAAGATAAGAACGTCTTTGTCCAATGTTAGCTCGCAGCAAATCATTGTTTGAACAGACATTTGTTGGAGCTCGAAATACGGATGCAAAATAGCATCCTAAGTGCTCAGATTTTTCCTGATCGGTTCTGATCGCGTTACCTTGGTCATCCCTTAATGTCTGCACAGTTGTCTGTTCTTTCAAAAAAGAACGAGCATATTTGAACAAGGGCACAGGGCTCATATTGGCTAGTCTTCTTTGTTTATACGCATTAAATTTGGTTAAATGTCTGGATAGTTCCTCAGTAACGTTCTTGTAACTTGCAGATGCTAACGGGTTTTGGATACTAGAGAATAACTGATTTCTTTGTTCAATTAGATTCCTGATATGCAACGGATAACTGCAAGTTCTAATTGTCTTCTTTTTATGTGGGACGTATCGAAGACAGATGATTTAGCAGTGCATGAGGCGTACTCCTAATTCCTCACTGAAAATCAAACATGAAGTCTTGGTACAATCTCAGCAACAGAGACTATAAACAGTAACCTCAAAATATGTTTTTTTTTTCAAATTTTCTGTTGTATTAAATGCTCCAAAAAATGTTCTATTTGTTTTGTATTGTTATGTTGATTGAATAAAATTCCTCAATGGATTTGACGTATAGGGAAATTCGTAAAATATTGTGAAATCATGGGGGCTTTGTTTCCAAAAAAGGTCCAAACCAATGCATGCCGAGCCTTGTCCTTGGACAATTTAAAAGCTCCGCCAAAAACATACTTTCTATAACACTTTATCCTATTCTAACAGAGAGCTGGTAGCTGTTATGCAAAGTAGAACTTTTGACATAATCTTTATTTTAAAGTGCCTCGATAAAATATGGTTCTTTAACATGCGTGCATCTTGCACTTATGCACTAGGAACGGGAAGCAAGGCACAGTGATAATGCTGCACTTAACGGCGCAAAAAACTTGCATTCAAATTGGTAGATTTCATGGTCCTTGAATCTAGCATTCTCATATTAACATCCTCTCATAAAACCACGCTCTGCCGTTTTTTGAATTCTTTTCTATTCCCCTTGAACACGTTCTTGGGAACTACTGATGGGGGAGGGGCAAAGCATGTTGTAGTTTTTACCCCTAGAAGGATTGCGTATAAATGTTTTTCTTTGAAGGCACCTACCATTACCTCAAGTCAGCAATTTTTGTATGATTCAAACATTTTGATTCTCCTTCTGCGCTTATTGTTGTAAGCAGTGTTTAGTTTAAGGTGAATGTATTGGACACTGGTTTTTGTGCCTTTTTGTTGGTGTATTCCTAACACTGCGCCATCTTACGAAGATAATGTCACCGACATCGGCTTATCAGCAGATGACAAGGGATACGAGATTGCATCGGAAATTCTCAGAAAGTCTATTAACTTTTCGGTTGGTGGTCTTGCATCTGCTTTCAAGATCTAAAATAAGATGCATTTGCACTTCAGGCGAATCCATGCGAGGATTTCTTCGAATTCACTTGTGGCAACTGGATAGCTAGCAATCCGATTCCTAAAGACAAAGTCAGTTACGGTCACGTGGAGATACTTGAAGATAAAGTGCAAGAGCAAATGAGAGGTACGTATGCGACCGAGAGACAAGAAGTGCAAATGCTACCCAACCATCCGTCTCTTTCAACAATTTGCTATTGGCTGCAGAAAGCTACACCGCGTGGAAAAATGAAAACCTTTTCATTCGCGCGCTACATCTATGATTTGAGCAGCTTTATAAAAATAAAATATAAAAACCCGGATATTAACAATAGGGAAGTAAACAAAACATTTGTAAAAACCAAAAAACCTATTAACATGATCTAATAATTAGTGCTTCTGGCAGAAAAACTTTTCCTCAGTTTTTAGTCTCAAGTTGATAATGCCACAAAAAGACTTATTTTTGGAAAAGAGATAAACTCTTAATAATAAAAAAATCATAGCTGACAGTGAAAATGCTCCCACCTTCATTAATAAGATAGAGTACCAGTGGAACCTGCCAAAGTAAATTTGTTATAGTTCACTCTGGACGAAATGAAGAGTGTAAAAGCAAAAAAGTCGTTTTGAATCCACGAGATTTGTTTATTATCTTGATAGTTGTTCAAATTATGTTTCTTATACAGGGTGTCTCAAAAGTCTTTAGCCTAGTATTTTTTCTGATAAAAACAGAACGGAACAGCATAGGGATATAATTTGGTGTACATATTATTCAAAAAGTAGCAAATATGTACAACACAGCATTCGAATTTCGTGGTAGCATCTTTCCTTGATAACAGAAGCCTTCATACTGTTAGCGATTACCCCTGCCGAGGTACGCAGGCAGTCACAATTTTGTCCCAATTTTTCAAGAAAATAAATCCTATCGCTTAGAGAATGTGCTGTATGATAGAGCAAGCTTTCAGCTACATCATACTATGATTAGAAAAATTTGTGGGTATTACAATTAAAATTACGGAAATTTGAATGCAGGCACGTGTAGATCTCATGGTGGAGTTTTGGACACATTTGTGGAAAATGAAAACGTGTTTGTGTTTCAAAACCAAGTTCGTCATCCGTGTTGCATTAGATTCTCATCTAGAAAACATGCGAAGAGGATATTGCTCCAAAGTCAGTGACTGCTGCAATTCTACAGATTTGAAACTAATTTCAAGAACATAGTTGCAGTGGCACGCATTGAAAACTTCCAGGTATTTTCTCGCCTCTCTTGACGAAATGGATTTTTAAGTGAAGCCATTATAGTGATAGTAGTGCAAAGCCTCCTCTATATTGTGGATATAAATTTGCACCGCGTGTGCCAAATTTTTGTAGTAGCGGAATAAATTTCAAACTTTTAGGAAAGAGCTTTTTTGCGTTTTGAGGTAGAAATGGTTTGATAATTTTAGTCAAACATGAAGATTATTTTTTACCCCCAAGGATGTAGTCAACGAAGAATGATTGGGGGATTCTGTGGTATGAATTTGAGATCAAAATCACCAGTGATTGTTGAGTTAAAGCAGTGCAAAATTAGGTTACAAGACTTTTGGACACCCTGTAGAATCATATACTCAAACAAAAAATTGTTAGTTACTAAAGGTTACGAGTATATGTGTTAGTCATCGGTACTTAGGTTTTTCTATTTTATCTTAGATTGCATTTATATTGCTTGATATCCATGAATACGATTTTTTGCGCGTTCAACTTGTATAGATTTTGTGGTAAATCGCGAAGCCTGAAGCATTTTAATAAGCATCTGGCGCTTACGCCAGCTTTGCTGGGTGGCTGCAGCAGGAAATGACCAAATGGATAAAGAATATCCATCAACGGCTGACACCCCTCGGACAGCTACACCACCGCGGAAGTGCGTTTTCGAAGCCTTCGCTTTCTTGCAACATTTCTTCCCTTTGTGATAGTTTTCATTTTTGGCACTTACTCATCCTCCATTTCCCTTAAAGCTACTTTTGAATACCCCCCCCCTTGGTACTTTGATTGGAAAGAATGTGGACTTGACACATTTTTCAACCTTTTTCCCGTATTATCTCTGAGAGAGTGATTTGAAAACTATGAAGAATGCAGTTTGCCACGAACAAAGGTGGCTATGGTTCTCTTGTGAATGCAACTCATCTCAGTAATTTTTTCTGTAGGATGTCCGTGTAACACCATCGCCCGGGAAAAGCTAGGGGAAGGAACGAGTTAAATAATTGCAGTAATGGTTGTCATAGCTTCGTTAGTGAGTACTTGTCCATTGTTTTACATTGATCTATCTCTTTGAGTCAGACCAATCTAATATCTATCGTAGCTTTCCATGAGGGACATCAAAAGTAAGGGCTGAGATGAACACTTGGTGGTCTTAGAAAGCGTAGCCATAACAGCCACTATGCCTTAACGAGAAAGTTCATTTTTTTTAAGTTAGGAACGATGGTTTTTGATATTCTAGCCGCGGCGGCGTATTCGATGATTGACCAAGCGTGAAAGAAAAAGAAGGATAAGCCAGCGCCAGAAATGAAAACTATGCAAAGGAGGATAAATAGCAAAATGTTGGAAGCTGCAGATTCTCAGCCTGCTGCAACGTACTGTACAACTGGAAATGATCCACAAGCGCAAGCGCGGCCCTGCGAATGACGCTTATCGTCGAGTATCTCAGCTACGCGACGCCAGATGCGAATTTTGCATGCATGCTTTTACACGCGAGCGAGAGGGCAAATTTTTCAGTGCCATGTATCAAAACGTGACAAAAAAATCAAAACATATGCCATATTTTTTTTCGGTGGAATAGATTTGCATTTTTTGCTTTAGGTTTAACTTTCGTTTAAGCAAAAATTTAAGACCTATTTGAGTCAAACGAGGTATTTGGGTCAAAGGCTGTTAATGCTTTGAAAGCCTTCTACAAAAAATGTATGGATAAAGATGAACTGAACCGGATCGGTGCTAAGCGGCTGATAGAGAACGTCAAGGTCGGTGGCATATCTACTCTGCATCTGCCAACTGACCTGATTTAGAGTTTCGGTGTTTGGCCGGCTTTAGAAGGAGACGATAAGTGGAAAGAAGAGAATTACAATTTGACGTCACTGTTAATCCACGTGTATCGAAGCCGTAGAGTTCTTGCATTCGTTAATTTTGATCTCGATGATACGAAAATTCGCCGTCTCATTCAGGTTTGCAACTTCTCATGTATGCATTTTTTTGCTGGCGCACAAACTACAGCAATGCAGATTTATCTTTTACAAGAAGACACATTTCTAAACAAGGTAGCAGCGAAAAAACTGGGTAGCTTTTCTGGAACCGTGAATTGGATAAATTTGAAACGTACCTTTTTTTTAAACCTTCTACTTCACTGCTTTGCATTGAAATACAAAACATTCTCATCTGCAAAAAAAGCCACTCAATAATTTTGCGAATTTATCAAGTCGCCTAAAACGAATCTAATTTGACCTTATGGCGCCACAGATCAGTATCAGTCGTGCCATCGATATAAGCGTGGATCGCTTTGTAGACATACGCATTCGCAATAAAAGAGCATCCTCACCATTTGTACAGCTTTGGTCAAATAGATAAAGTGGTCGCTAGTCAACTGGTACGTTCACAAGCATACGGGATCTGGGCAATTGACCTTGCGACCTATCTTAAATTACAACAGCTTGTCGAGATGGCCTGAAAAAAAAAGAGGAACAAAACGGCCGGCTTTTCGAATGTCACTGATAATCTGCTCAGATTCTTTCTCAAGTGAGTACAAAAAAAATTAAGAAGACTGACTTGAATTTTTGCTAATTTTGAAATTTTTTTCAACATTCTACAAACGAATGCAGGACTTAAAATTTACAGTTTTATTACTCTTAAAAACATTTTTAAGTTCCGCAGCCAATTCCCGAGGGTGTGTAGGTTAACACTTCTTCTGCCTCTGAAATTCACGATGCGGTAAAATTATTGGCGCTGACTTTGCAGCAGTGACACCATACATAGAATGACTACCTGATATCAAATTCATCTAATGATTGCAATCATTACGCGCTATAATAAATAGCAAAATTCAAAAGATTTTGTAAATACACTAGTGGGGTAAGTGACATGAACAGCATGTGCCAGCCTCCATCTCACCGTACGCGGTGCGCTAAACGCCCCTCTTTTTGGTGGATTGGCGTAGGAATGCATTGCAGTTGTTGGAAATGCTCTTGTAAATCTCACATGCTCCTTCTCTCTGCAATCATAGCTGCTTTCGAAAAACCACATTTTGTTCCGCATTAAGGTATTCTGATAGCAATTCATGTACAGTTGTATAGAAACAAGTGCTTAGTTGCGCATTTCCATATTTTTCAGATGGCCAATTCGGATCAGGCCAAAGCTAGAGCAATGCGCATCCACGTAGCCCTTTTTTGACCACGTCTATTTCTTGCTATAGGAGGCCCCTGTTGGGCCATTTTGCTTTCTCCACGATTGTATTCGCTCTCTGCGATAGTGCGTAAGCAGCGTGCGGCCTACAGCTGCAAGCTTGCAACTTGAAATCAAGGTTCCAGCATTTCGATTGAGACAGGCTATGTCATACAAATTCTTCTGTTTCTTCTGCTTTTCTTTTGTTTGAAGACTGCCATGCTTAAGAAAGCTTGTGTAAATGTAAATGTTCATCTCTTCATGTGAGCCCTGCTCTTCATAGTCAAAATCCTAAAGATGTCCACTTGAAGACACTGACAAAGAAATCTATTTAGTTGCAAGTGCCAACTTTATGACAGCACTGTTACTGAAACAAAAGTCAAACTATGTGACTCTATGATCTGATAATTTCCACGTCTGCGAAGGGTTCGTTGAAAAAAATAAAACCTCTTAATGTGCGTGTAATCACGTTCGCTACATGAGTGTTTTTAATCGACTTATAGTGCAAAGCCGCTTTTGATTCTAGCCATACTCAGAGAGCACAGGTAATAGGTTGATGCATATTAACCAAAATTTTGAAACTCCTCACTTTCTCCAACTTTAATGCAATCCCATGTGCTCTCTTCTTTAAATCTGACAGTTTCATGTTTTCGAAAATAATTTTGTGCCGTGCAGGTTTTTTTTGGGGGAACAATATTGCCTGACGTTTTGACAGGTATCGTCTTCTTCGGAGGCCTGAAAGAGGACTGCAGTTTTGTATTTGTCTGTCTACACGGCCAAACGCCTCCTCAAGCTGTGCGCTCAGGCCTTGTCTAGAATTAACGTAGATACATCCGAGATGAACGTCACCAACCTCTGAGTCAGTCAGCCCGCACGACTGTGACGAACATTACTAGGGATCGCCCAGTAATGTTCGTCACACCAAAGATATATATAGTCTGCAGCTTAGCCGACATGATGCTACGAAGGGCAAGAGGTCACTTGCCATCATCATGCATTCATCATTGTTGTTCATCCCAGATTTCTGCCAGACCATGCTGCCTCCGTCTTTGTCGAGATTTCGGTCTCATGTGCTGGTATGCCGCAGTTTACGCTAAAATCGTCATCTTTATGTGCCTCGGCTCCATGTTTTCCCAATGATGACGACATTGTCCCTCGTCGTTTGCTGACAAAATGCTCTTTGACTCTGATACTTAGCATTCTTCCTGTCTTCCTTATATATGTTATTCCAACTAGCGACCCTACGGGTCGCTAGTAAGTGGGCTGGGGCAGATACATCAATTACTGTTTGCGTGCAACTAAGAATAGAAAGGGAATGAACTCCCATTTTTTTTCAACGGTCTTTCTCGCAATGCAAGTAGTAATAGAAGCATGATTAGGCTCTCAAGGAAAGTTTTTACAGCGATTAACTACCAAATCATATACGTTGTTGTTCTTGCAAAGACCCAACCCCGGCTCCTAAAAATGGAAATCGCCTAAGCAGCAGTCGTCTATGTAGAACAGCTGATTCAACCCGAAATTCAGGCTGACTTTCAGAAATGTGCGACGGCCGCAAACACATCGAGCTTCGCGATTATGCACAGTCCTATACTCTCCTTATAACATCTCTAGAGCGAGACCAAAATTCGCTTAAACCTTTCTCCTGGACAATTTTAGCAAACATGTCCTGCCGCATAGACCGAGACCACGAGGCCAAGCCCTCTTTACTTTTTTGCTAAAGGGGGCAGAAGTGCATAAGCCCTCGGGACCTTCCTTCCCTCAAGATCAAGTTTGCTTTGCTTCTTTAATATAGAAGGCACAGGTATGATTTCTGCAAAGTAAAAGGGCCAAAAGTGGATTTCAAGCGAGCTTTTGTACAGTTTAGCATTGAAACTGAGAAATTCTTAACAGAAATGCACTGCCGCATGAAGCCCTTAGGCCCTCCTTCCCTCGAAACCAAGCTCTCGCTTTGCTTCTTTGTTATAGGAGGCAGAGGTATGATTTCTGCGAAATATTAGGTTGTAAAGGAAGAGTCCGGGCACTTTTGAAGATTTCGTTTTCTGATGCATTTTTTTTGTCGCTCCGTCTATTTGACACGAAGTTTTTATACTGTTTGGTAGAAGGAAGCCTAATCTTTTCGAAGCCACTTCTAATTTTCATCGATGCCAAAACATGTATGATTTGCACATCAAAAAATGAAAGCTTTTTAACCATGACAATTTAACAATTTTTCTTCCTGTGGCCATTTTTTTGTGAAGTTCATAGGTTTTCGTCTATATTGTGTGCGATCCAATCGAGGAGACTGTTAGTTCTGACCCGCAGCTGCACTCGTTTTGCGATTGCGCTCAGAAATTACAAGCTGTCAATCTTGCCTCTGACTGCAACTATTCTCGCAGCTGACATCGCTTCTGCGAGGCTCGCCATTGGGTTCAAAACATGTATAAGGCATTAGCCTAACAATCTTCGCAATAATCAAAAATTTGGTTCCTCCCGTGCAAAACGAGAAGAATTCAAATCGCTTACTCGAAAAATGGTGCATTTTTGGGGCAAAAAATTGTCAATTTCTTAACCTTTCTGGAAAAACTTATTTTGCAGATAGTCGCTCAAAGGCATAAATAGTCCCCAAGATAGCCCCAGCAGACTTCTGCATAACTACAGCATATGAGCTGTCTAGCTCTCATCATGCGTGGGATATTCTGCGAAAATATGTTACTTTCCGCGTTGATCTTTTTCCCTTCTCCGCATGCTGGGGAACCGCAGCGAGATGCTGAAAAGCCAGCAAGGTAAATATACTTTGTAAACAAAAATGTCTTTGCAAAAAAGTTTGTAGCTTCTTTAAAGAAGAATCACTGCCTGAAGTTACAGCGATTTGAAAATTTTTTTGCAAATGCCCGGGAACTTTCCTTAAGACCTAATAAAGGCGGTCAAAACTGGATTTCAAGAGATTTGTATAATCTAGCATTGAAACTGAGAAATTTTTAGAAGAAATGTTTGCCGCTTGAAGCTCTTAGAACCTTCCTTTTTTCGAGACCAAGCTCCCTTTGCTTCTTTGTTGCAAGAGGCAGAGATGTGATTTCTGCGAAGTAAAAGCAGTTAAAAGTGGACTTCAAGCGAGCTTTTCTATAATTTAGCATTGAAACTAAGAAATTATCAACAGAAACGCACTGCGGCATAAAGCTGCTGCAGCTTTCCTCCCTTCGAGAGCAAAATCCTCCTCTGCTCTTCTTGATTTTTTAAGGCAGAAGTACGATTTTCACAAAGTAAAAGCGGCCGAAAGGGATTCCAAGCATACTTTTTTGAGAAGCCTGAAACCTAAAGAATTATACCAAAAATGACTGCAACATGAACTCATTAGGTCTTTCATTCCCTTAAGACAAGCTCCCTCTGCTGTGTTGTTTTTATTGGCAAAAGTAGAATTTCCACAAAGTAGAAGCACCAAAACAGATGTTTAGCAGTTCCCGTGAAATTTTACATTGAAATGATACAAACTGAAACTCAGGCTGATTTTCAGGAACTGTGTCATGTTTTAAAAAGCTTCCAGTAACTGAAAAACCCAGACATATTTTTTTTTAGTAAATTTTCGAAGCGGCATTAACCAAATTTCGTAAAGTATCCCCGAACGAAAACGTAGAGCTTTGCATGATAGCAAAGATTGGTGAGTATACCATTGCTTATGCATAGAGCTTTCTCAGTTTTCTACCTTTTTTGAACGCTTTTCCGCAATCATACGTTAGCTTTTGATTACCTGTAGCGATTCTGAAAATATGGAGTTGTTCACTGGATGAAGGAACCTTATAGACTCCTTCTCACG